GAATTACATTCCTATGTGTACACGAGGCATTCCTAATTAAAAATATAGATTTATGACTAAATAATTACTGTCCAAAATAGTGTCTTTTGACTCTGTCACATTATTGAAAGTGGTAGGCATCAACCATTTTTTAACAGTTTACTACTAATCCCCCAACACCCCTCCCCCCCCAAAAAACGTACCTCCTCTAAGACAGTTCTATGTCACTTTGCCATCTTCAAAATCAGTGTGAAATGTTAATCAAACAACCAACTTACTTTTTCCCCATTTTCACTCATTATCTTAATTATTAGGGACCACCTGGTACAGGAAAGTCATTTGTTGGTAAAGCATTGCTTCATTTGCTACTTTCCATGGAAGTGCCCAAACATGGCCCCATACTGGTAACTAATAAGTAATATATACCTCTTTACCTTGGACATGATAGTGTTTCCCATTTCCAATGATGTATTGTGAGAATGAGAAACTTGGTTTTGTTATGTGTTCTTAATTAGCATAAAATTTGGTCAAGGTTTGTTTCCATTTTCTCCAAGAAATATTAATGGTGTAAGAAGCCATAACAAACATGAAAGAGTGTTTTACTATTGTATCCTCTTTCTTGGATTCCTGTACTACATGCAAGCGTAATGTTTCGTTGGACCTTGCCACTGATTTGATGGTTTTCTTTGGCTTTGTTTTGTTTAAACTTTAAGCTCCAACATGCTATACACATTCCAGCCAATTCAATCTGTGCCAGTGGAAAGTGACTTTCCCTTGGTTTGCAAAAAAATAGATGTCTTTGTTTTTTGTTCTTTTCTTAATATTTTGCAATGCTTTAATTCTTTGACAAATACTATCTTTGCTTTAGATTGCTACTTACAAGAATTATTCCCTTGATGAATTTTTGGAGAGCTTTCTGGACAAAAATCCTGAATTTAAAAATGATGTAGTTCGTGTTGGAAGGAGTAAGGAAGGCACATCAGAATTGCTTCAACAGTGCAACTTATCTCAGGTAATAACAAGATCAATGTTGGTGGCAAAGGGCACTAAATGTTTTGCCAACAATATTTAGGTTTTCACTATACCAAATCAACCGTAGCTCCTTGAATTAGTGGTCTACATTATTTCAAACATCTGTAAATAATCATATTTTTCAGCTTACAAGTGGATCAATGGAAAAACAAATGTATCAGAACCTTAAGGAGCTGGACACGGAGCTGCATTCGATAAAAAAGGAAATTTATCAGCGTTTCAGTGAATTGGAGAATTCTAACCATTTTACTGCTTCTGTATTTTTAAAGGTATAATTTTCATTTATTCAGCTTAAAGTGTATGATGTAGTGCTGAACAACTGCCGTTGCAGTAATATTAATAATAGATACCCTGGGCCCCAGAGGTTCTTCTTCTCTTCCTGTGGTTGTAACGAGTGAGCAGGCAGGAGGGAGCGAAAGGAACCCTTGCGACATCCCTTTAATAAAACAGGCAATGCCGGAGCGAGAATAAATGAGCCATGCTCTGACTTTGATCAGCCCAGAGGTTGTTTCAGGGTTTAATCTGTGAGTTAGCCATGTCCTGACTTTGATCAGCCCAGAGACTGTTCCAGGGTTCAATCTGTGAGTTAGCCATGCCCTGTCGCTGTGATAAGCCCAGAGATTGTTTCAGTGTTCAATACACATGCACCTTTTGAAGGTTTCAACAAATTTAGTGAGTCCTTTAATTTAAAAACTTCTAGGATAATGTTCTTAGTTTAGAGTGTTTTATTTCTTTTCCCTTTCTTCTCTTTCAGGAAGCAAATGAGAAACACTTGAAATCATTGCTTAAAGACAAAAAAGAAAGAATAGAGGGGATGATGAAAGATGAAAACTTCTTAGACAAATACCAGAAAGGTACTGCAAAAGGATGCTTAGTTTTAGTTTCAAACCTTTAAATTTATCAAACCCTGAAACCCTTGGCTGATCTAAGTCAGGGCATGACTCACAGATTGAACCCTGAAGCAATCTTTGGGCGTTGGTCAAATTCAGGACACAGCTAACTTACAGATTGAACACTGAAACAACCTCTGCCCTGATCAAAGTAAGAGTATGGCCAACTCACAGATTGAATACGAATTTAGCTTGTTAGGTTTTGTGGAGGGAGCAAGACCCTCGAATCGAGGGAGCTTTATTATACCCCAGCTTTGATTCTCAAATTGATCACAGTGTTCAGCTCAATGTATGTCAGGCCGTTACTTGAATGCAAGTAAAATATTATGAAAAATAATTTTTATCTAGGGCTTTTTGTTAACTCATTCCATTTTACTGTCGTGACTCTTAAACCTATGTTTCTAGAGCTTTTAGAGATGATTAAGGAACCTTTAAAGACGTGGATGCCAAGTGAGAAGGAGTTTGAGAGCTTTGCACGCAATGCAGGCATACCTGAAGCTGTCCAAAGCAATACAGAAGGTCTTCCAACCGATGCAAACAGCAATAATCAGCTGAATGACAGTGGCAGTACCATTGATTCTGAAAAAACGTAATGTTTTTGTTGAATAAAAGGAACTTATAGATAAACTTATTACTTAAATGTACTTACTTATGAGGCGCTTTCGAAATGTGTTTCAAACCTTGGTTGCATTGTTGTTGCTTTTTAGTGTTGTTGATATTGCTACTTGGTTGTTGCTAGACAGTTAGACTAATATATATATCAATGTATATTTAAAAAATATATCTTACGGTGTAATAATAAATAATTGTCGTTGTTGTTGTTGCTGTTACTTAAATGCTGTTGTTGCTATTGTTTTCACTGTTGTTATTGCTGTTATATTGTTGTTGTTGCTTTTGGTTGAAAAATGAATTACTTCAACTTACAACACAAACCTGGCTATTAATTTTCAACTGTTGGTTGACCCTCTCTCCCCTCCAGACAGTGTTTTAATTTTTTTCATGTTCGGCTTTTAAAGTACTTTACCCGACCCTTTTTTACTTTATTCATAGAAACGAAGATGATGATTCTAGCGGGCTGGAGACTCAGCCTTCAGATGACCTTGAAGAGCGTCAAGGAGCACTGCTTGATCAACAACAAGATAGTACGCAGCTTGGAGAAGAGATTGCTCAACCAGTTGTTCCAATTTCAGCATGTGAAGAAGAGGTGCTGGTTACACTTCCTGTAATCCCTGACGAGAGTAAGTTTCATCATGATAATGTGTGTAATTTTTTTCCAGTACTGTATCCTAATCAAAAATTCAGTTGTGTGTTCTGACTGGCTGCATGAGGATGCAGTATTTTCTATCTCTGGTGACTCAGTGCAGTCTTGTATCCTAGGATAACAGATYGTTAAATAACAAAACAAATTGAGGAAAATATAAACAGTTTTAATTGACAGCCGATAAATAAATAAAATTATCTACCGTCCAAAACGCGATCCCAAATAGGGAAAAACTGTGCCCTCGGTCTATAAAAAGGAATTAAGAGAGTGCAAGCATTGCTGGACACTCATATGTAAACACAGCTCATTTTGAGGTACCAAATTCAAGAAATATTTCACCATTCAACTATTTACTTCATGTAGAATACTGACAGTACTGAATTAAGGCATTATATGGACTTTAGAAAACTCATTCATAATTCATGAAGAAAACACAATAGAAATCATGACCATGAAGGTGATTTTATATCGGATAAAGATTCGTCTTCATTTGCATAAACTTTAACTTGGATTTTCTCTATCCAACTTGGTTCAATTCGTAAARAATTCGGTACAGTATGAGAACATACATCTGGAGTTTTCTAAGCCGTTTAATAAACTCGCAGATCGTGTTTTATCGGGTCTAAAACCACTCGGCTACGCCTCGTGTTTTATACCCGATAAAACACTCCTGCTCGTTTATTAAACAGTACTTAAAAAGCTCTACTTACATACATGGGGTATTGGGTCAATGATTGAGCACATGACCATAATCGTTGAAAGGGGACACGTAGGAGCACACCCATCCGTCCCATCCGTTCTTACCAAAAGATTAATACCTATTGATTGATTTTCTTAAGAACTTGGGGATTTCAAGTCAATTCTAAATGCTGGTGATATTGAAGAACTTACCTTGGAAGAGAAAATCCAATTTGTCTATGCTCTTCAGAGACAAAACRGGACAACTCTACGCAAAAGATTTTTGCAGCTAACCAAGCAACTGTCCCAGGTATACATGTATAGAATATAGTTGATTTTAAAAAGTTAGTCACCACCTAGAAAGATGATATCGCTGAGGATCATGGGAAACTCTATCTCCGAAAGTAAAGCTGTTTTATGCTCACAGAAGGAAGTGAAACCATAACTGGTAAAAGATCTCAAGTCCATATAATTATTAAGCAGTCGACACGTGTACAATTTATCTACCCATAATGCTTCCCGGTCTCAGCTTTGTAGCTTTTCAGGTGACTATTTTTATTGAAATAAGTATTTACATTGATACAAAAGAAATCAAAAGTGTCAGTTATTAGAAATGGACCTCCGCGGCCCTAACTAGTTCTAAGAAATGACGTGTACTATTTGAGAACTGGTCCCATTTGATGGAAAGCGCCCTTACGCTCCATCATTGGCCGAAAATGCTGTGAAATGCTGAAAATACTAGCCTTTTGTTTCTGGGTGTGAGTAGCTACTGGTATCGATGGACACGAAGAAAAAGGAAGTTTTTTCTATTTTCAAATTTGGAGTAGATTTTGTGTGACTGTGAGATAGCACGTCATGGTACGGAATTATTGAGACAATTGGAACCAATCACTGCCTTCCAGATAATTGCTTATAGTAATCAAGTTTTTGAGACTTGACACTGTCAAGGTCAGAGCACATCCATACTATGATTCTTCCACAACCATATGAAAACTATTTCAGTAGTCCTGATGATCACCACTTAGGTGGAAAGCTCGAAAAAAATCTTTCTTAGAGTTGAAGTAACCTGTAAAACATTACAAACTTACGAAATCTGTTCTATTGGTGTAAGATGACGTTAGCATGCCCATGTTTCTGTCTCCTTTTCTGTTTTCAGAAACAGCAAATAAGGAAGGAGATTCGTTACCAACACTCTGTCAACATCTTGAAAAAGCGAAAAGTTATTTTCATGACGGTTAGTGGAGCTGCCATTAGAGCAAGCTGGTTAGGTAAGACCATCTGGCAAAAAAACAGCCAGGTATTTTAAAACTGTAACACTTGACCACCGGTTGAAAAAAAAAGGATCTTGTGGTCCATTGTTATGATGGGGACAGAACCCTCATATTATAATAAATGGTCATTCGAGCCCTGCATAATGGAGAAAACACCACCTCATCTGGGCATAGTTAATAGATCTGGGTGTTGGCCAAAATACCTGGACACTCGATCCCTGTGTAAGCTTATAAGTAACCATGTCTAAATCAATGTCTATCCTAAGACTCAAATCTCGAAAACTTTAGAATTCTGTCCAGCAGCACACCCCCATGTTCCATGAGCAGTAGACACTTGTATGAGGCGCTAATAAGCAATAGCTGGAGTCAAAATAATGACATATTTAAGTAGTAGAAAAAACATTCAAATGTCTGGAGTTTAAAAACTTTGGCTCCTAGGTAGGAAATCAGTGCAATATAYGGAATAGCGGTAATGCGGTAAAGCAAGATATAATATCAAACAATGATAAASTTAATTGTAATTTGATTTGCCAACAGAGTCTATCAAACCCTCAGTAATAATCGTTGAGGAGGCTGCAGAAATCCTGGAATCCCAGCTTGTTGCAGTAATCCCATCATCCGTTCAACATCTGGTCATGATTGGTGATCATAAGCAGCTACGCCCACAAGTGCATTATGATGTACTGTGCCGCAAGTTTTACTTTCATATTTCAATGTTTGAGCGCCTGATCAAAGGTGGTCTTGATTACGTCCAGCTGAACCAGCAAGGAAGAATGAGTGATRACTTAGCACAACTGGTCAGAGAGCTGGGGATTTATAAGGAGTACAAGACCAGAGATGAGGTACGTTGCTTTTTAGTTAAAAATTTGTAAAGCTGAGATTAAACAGCAAGAATGCAGTTTTTGAATGCATGGAGCCAGATTACTTCGCATGTGAAGCAAGTCAATTAAAAAAAAATCTGATTTCGTTATTGGCTATGATGGGTGCAGGGTTTTTGTAATTTGGTGGATTTTGCAAATGAGGGTGCTTTCCGATCTCTTTGTCARAGAATATTTTGGGGTTTTATAGGTGTGCCTTATTATAAGGTTTTTGAATGTCAACTTGGAGAATGCTCAAGCAGGTTTTTTCTTTCATATCAAAGAAAGCAAGTGTCAAAATACAAGACTCACGTCCCACCGGAAACCATGGAAAACTTTGCTTTCACAATGGCATTTTCATGGTGTCCTCAAAAACCTCAGATGGTTTTTTGAAGTCAGTATGTGTCATCYCCTTTCTCGCTTGCCCACACATTTTTCTTACAGTTGACAGCCAATCAGAGCCTGCGATATATCATAGCCTCAAGTATCCTTGCATTTGCTTGTGAAATAGCTATTAAAGTTGTAATGTTGCATATGTGCACCTTTTGATTTTTGTAGGTCGTTCGAGCGAATTGTTTGCCAAATTGTCTGACCGTGCCAATGTATTTCTTCCATCACGATCACCAAGTGAAAACTCATCCTTCATCACACAGCAAGTATAACATTAAAGAAGCTCATCAAATCATCCGGATGGCAAAATTTCTTTTGAAGAATGGTGTTCCTCCTGAAAAAGTTACAATACTGTGTTCGTATCGTGGCCAGGTAAGTAGTTTGTGTCGTAAGAACTGGTTTTATTTCCTCTATCAATGGCTCAGTTGGTTAAAAACATTACTCTGTTGTGAGCCAGGTCTTAGATTCCATCTCCAGGGCTTTGGTACAGTGTTCATTGTTAGTTCTTGTTTAGATTCACTTTAACAAATAGACATCAGTTTTTTATGTGTCTGTCCTCTTATTGATGATAAATTGTGTCATCACATTGTCAAAGTAGTGTGGATAATATTGATAATAACTAATTCCAGACAGTACCCAATTCCATGAGGCAGTAATCTATATTCATGGAACATATCTAATCGCTCCTATAATCCCAAGGCATGAYATAACATTTAATTGCAAAACTGTTCGGAATTAGTGCAACACACTGTATTTACAAAACAAACTTTGGAACTCTATGTATTAATTTTGGGTTTTAAAAAGCTAATCTTTCTGAGATTGACACCAGTCCTGTTTGTTTATACTACTAGGTAAACTAGGATCTAATAGATGTTTATTATTATGTTTAGTCTTATTAAAAATTCTAAGATCCTGCATTTTAAGAACATTTTACAGTGCTTCACGTGGAATTATCATCATGATGAAGTAGGTTTTGATGAAACCGTTTTGATATACGTCAAACAAGGCGTTTCCATTACATTCCATAGATTTGTGCCCTTGAAAACCTTGTGTTTTCCAACAATGTCATGAAAACACTTTTGATTGACATCCACCAAAACCCTATTTCGTTTTGACGGCAATTTGTACGAAGCCCTACTGTAAACTGTAACGTATGAATGGTCCAGCTGCTCATACTAACTGTTAAAATAAAGTAACAAATGTTTATACCAGTGATTTTACCTCCAACTAAAGCAACTATTTGAATAACACATTCTGTCAAAAAATAAGAACATTTTTCTTTGAGTGCTGAACTGCATTTCAAACATTTCATTTTGGAGCTATATCTAAGTATTTTTCATAAGAGTGGCCTCTGCATAAACCTGTATCTAATGGCGGTTACACTCAATGATAACAGCTGAAGTACTGATCATTACRAAAATTCAATATTCCTTCCAGGTCAATGAATTCAACAACATTAGGAAACAACCCAATGTTGGTTGTGGTCTAACAGCTATAAAAGTTACCACTATTGATTCCTTTCAGGTTTGTTGTGGCATGTGTACGATGACTTTTACTAACTTCGATCTTTTTTTGGGAGGTTTTTTCATTCTGTCCATTCAATGCTGAAATATTTAGACCCCATTCACCTAAATTTCAATTAAAACAACAACAGAGTAAAATTATCCTTGTGTTACGAGGGTAGCACCTATAATAGCCAGTTGCTAATGAACCTGCTGCCCTCGTTCCATGATCGAATTAGAATTTAGAAGTTGATTTTTGCAGAGGGAGGAAAATTGGAGAACCCAGAGAAAAATCTTCAAAGCTACAGGAGGGAACCAACAATCGACTCTACTCACATATGATAGCAAGAGGGGTGTTTCTTAACTTTCCCCAGTTATTTTGCCCATTCTTCCCTCGCGTTCGGATACCTAAATAAAAATAAGGACAATATAAATTTTTTTGTTAAATTTAATGATTCATTATTTTTGGTTTTAGGGCAAGGAGAATGACATTATCTTGTTGTCATTAGTTTGCAATATTAGCAAATCTAACAGTGAAGCTAAAATTGGGTACCTCAGCTGTAAGAACAGATTATGTGTAGCCATTTCAAGAGCTCGCTGTGGGCTATATCTCTTTGGTAATGCAGATCTCTTGAGCAAAAACTCTAAGAAATATTGGAAGGTAAGAACTCCATTTTTTAAAAAAATTATTTTTTGTTATCCTTTCATTTTTTTTCGTGTTTTTTTTTTGTTTTTTGTTTTTTTGTTTTTGTTTTTTTGTTTTGTTTTTCTTTTGTTTGTTGTTTTTTTGTTTTTTTTTTTTTGTTTTGTTTTTTTAATGTTTTATCCTGTTCTTTTTTTACCGTTGATTTTTAAGTTTGTGCCCTGTAATCCTACAATATTTTTCATTCTTTTTCACACCTCACAAGTAAAAGTTATGTTAATTTAGTCTCTACGCATTTCTACTCTAACATAGGGTGCTTCCCATTTTGTTTAACCAATTGGTCTGAAATGGTAAACGTAAGTTCTTAAAATACTGATTCGGTCGGTTCGGGCCACGTTGGTCCATTTCTAAGAATTTACGCGTACCATTTCAGAACTGGCCACTCAGACGAATAAAACCTTTATTTGAAAATAATTAAAGCCAGGGTAGTCCATTCAGAACTAATAAAAAGGTCTGCTATCAATGTGAGCTCTGGTAGACTTAATGGAAAGCGCTCTTAGTGTTCATTGCAAGCGTTACTRTTTGGTACTTGTCGGGGAATGGATAGAGCAGAAGCAACCAGGAGCGCCTGCAATATAAATACAGGTCAACGGTCCTTAATTTGTACTATTATGATTCTTTAGTAGTTATTTATGTGATATATACATTATATATTAATCTATGTTATTTCGTGGTCTCTCCTTCTTGTTACGTTGGTTTATACTGAAATGATCGTGTGCAGTAAGCCGTAGGTCCTTTTACTTTAGACCAACACAAAGTTTTTCCTCGTCTTTCTTTATTCTTTTCTACAGAAGATTATTGAACTCATGCGAAAAGAGAAGTGCCTTGGCAATGAACTGTCTTTTTTAAATCTGGTCAGTTTGATTCTTATTTTGATCCTCTCCATTTCCCTAAGGTCGGGGGGACACACAGGAGACAGGTCGCAGGGACTCTGAATTCCCTTCATGTGACATAATGATTTTTGAGATACATTCTTGTCGCTGTAACAGAATTATGTCCCTGGTAATATGGCAAACAAGTTTGAATTTGTGAGTCAGCAAACTTTCCATTGCAACATTGTGTGTGCTTACTCAGACGAGGGACCTGTCTCTGCGACAAAACAACAGTTAACCAATAAGCTTGATAATGATGATTTATGATAATGATTTATGAATTTATATAGTGCCCTTTCTATATGAATATAATCAAAGGCGCTTTACATTGAGAGTGATCCCCCTTTTTTACCTGTAAATTTTTAACTGATCTCCATTCCAGCATTTTAAGAAATGTGATCGCCACTAAATCCTCCAAATCTCCCAGCCCAACGCAATGACTGGTCCGTAAGAGTAACTGAAATCGCAATAAGAGCTTGGGCTACCTGTGTGGCAGTCTCCTTTAATAATATTATCGTTGGTGTTTTCTTTAAAGGAACAATCTCCGTGCATAAAAAAGACGTCCATAGGAGAGGCACCAAAAACAGCCACATTAATAACAGATTTGAAAATTCTGCTTSATCCTGAGGTATCACTGAAAGACAGTTTTGCTCTCCTTGCTGAACAGTTTGGGTTAAAAAAAAAAGAAATAGATTATCTCAGATCAACTGGTAAACCCACCGAGAAACTGCTTGATCATATCAGTGGCCGTACCATTGGGGAATTACAAGATAAGATCAATAGCATTGAAAGAATTGATGTCGCAGATAAAGTTAAGGATTATATTCTCAAGAATTGTAAATGTTTTGAATGTACTACCACTTAAAAGATGCCTAGCTGAGGTAAAATTGTATAAAGGGTATTTTTAAGTTGTTTAGGATGTAATATTTTAGGAAGGGGGTTTCTATGGTTTTTAGTATAGTTTAGAATGATACACAAACACATCAGCTCTGCTGTAATATTGTGTTTTTAAACACAAGATTAAAAGTGCACTCCAAGCAAAGCAAGGGCTCCGTAGTTCGACCCTTAGTGATCTTACACACTTGTTTTAAATGCTTCTCTCTGGGGCCGGGTTTGAGTACGTTTGAGTACGGCAARAAAGGAAGTGGTGATGCTGAATACAATTTCATGTCTTAAATTACTGTTTTAGTCAGTCATCAACTGTTTTCTGATGAGAAAAACTTGAAAAACTATTTTTATGGAAAGAAGCAATTTTTTTTGAGATGATATTCGAAATATCAATCAAAGGAGGTGTTTCTCTACGACTTCTCTCTTGCTCTACAGCTCCCATCGTGTTTACATCATGGTATATAGACAGGCACGCCGTTTTACATTCCTTAAATATAAACTTGAATATATGGATTGATATATATACACTCTATTGCAGAAATGTTGATTTAAGACATCGGGGTGTCTTCTATCTTCCTGCAAATGTTATAAAGTGCTTTCCGTTTTGCTTTTCAACTTGTCTGTTCAGTTTAGTCTAGTTTGTGGGAGACTATTAGATCTATGGCTGCATTATCAATTGGTTTGGAAAACCGTCTACCCAGGAATGGTAAATGCATTAGATTTTTTTAAAATTTTCAACAAAATAATAGTTTTTATAGTAGATAAATGTTAATTAAGACTTAATTTATTTAAGCATAATTTATTTAATAATGATAATTATTTTGTAAATACGGCTGAATAGACCGATATATGAGTCAAACTCATGATTAATGTTTAGGACTGAAGTTTAATGGRAAAAAAAGCAATTATAACCATGCAAAGCAATATGCATACAAAGTGTCCTTCGTTAAAATATAAATGTAAATTCATCATTTGCTAGCACTTTACAAACAGACAGACTTAGCTCGATCCAGGTGTTTGCAAGCATAGTTATATACTATGAGAAAAATATTAGTTTTATTTGCTGTATCCAACTTCTAAACTGTTATTATTTTATAGACTGACAATCRAGTCAATAAAATGTAGTTTAAAAACTGCTGTATTTTCTTGTTTCAAGGGAGCTGTCAGTACTTCGAGGATTTTTTATGGGTTACGATTTCTGCAAGGGGGAGAGAGGGGGGAGGCATCACTTTTTAAACCTCATTTTATACTGAGCTATACGACACAATACATTATTTTTTAGTTGGCACTTAATATTAGAGTGGTTTTCATAAACCCGTGAAATACACACTAGCCAAATRCAAAATAGTTGACCCTAATTCCATTGTGTTCTTTTGTTGTCATTTCACTATATATTACTTACTAATGATATCAAGAGAACATGAACTAAGAGAAGGAATCCCCGTGCCCCATCATGTGCACACTTTGATGCTATTTTTAGAATCTATTCTAAAAATATCATCCAATGATATCGCTTATTTGATCGTTTGATTTTCTGCACGCGCATAGTAGGTGCGCGCTCTACGCTGTTTGCTAACGTTTTCTTGTGCTTTTCTTATGTTMAAATGCTGTTCAAATCTACCCTCAAGATGACGATGTAGGTCGAAAGCTTTGGAAAATAAATGTAAGAATACTYCAGAAAGTTGAACAAATTACTACTTCAATTTCCTGTCGTATTTGCCAAGCTTGCGACGTGCACATTCTATTCAGGGCAGAGTCAAAATATAACGGAAAAAAACCCAAAAACGTAAGCAAACATCGTAGAGCGCGCGCAGTAGATGCGCGTGCAGAAAAACAAATGGTTTAAAAATAGCATCAAACTGTGCACATGACGGTTACAAGGCTATATAGGGGGGATTCATTTTCTTTTGATGATATCTATTACACACTTATGATATCTGTTTCACGGGTTTATGAAAATCACTCCATAAAAGTACATAGGTGGTTATCCAAGTAAATTAAATAAAATAATCTTCATAAGTGTGATTTTGGTTTCTCTTGTCATCATGCATTGTTAAATGTATGCTGACACAGTTTTTAGGAACACTCGGTTTGGGGGTTGATCAGAAATAGAAAACAGTCATCAGTGTTCATGTTATTAAGATTTATATAAGTTTTTTTTCTATAAGCTATGTTTATTTTTTTCTGCGAGAGTCATATATTGGACACCGAATAAGAAAATGTTTTTATTATCTATTCCCGAGTTACAAGGTAAGGCCTTAAATACCGCCCCATTTCAAAAACTCGGTCAAAACGCTCCCAAATGGCTCCAAAATCGACTAGAAATCAAAGGACACAGTAAGTTATCAAGGTAAGCAATTTTATTCATGAAAATGCCAAAAATTTACGAGTTGTAAATTAAGACCGTTAATATTTTATATATCAACATTCAAATGACCCGCTCGTTGTAATACAACACCACAGGACAAGAGCTTGGGCCGCCTTTAGTTGTGTCAATTGGCTGTCATCGTCAAACATCCAATGAAATACGGTGACGGATTGATGAAAGAGTAGGCACTTTCTTCAGGCACAATTGTTGGAAGAAGCTATAAGCCTTGCTTTAGGGGGATCTCATTTTTTGCATGACTTTAAGGGGGGGGTGTTAAAAATTATTCTGGACATTTCAAATTTTCACCTGCCCCCCCCCCCCCTCCCCTGCCATACATTACAATACAATACAATATACAATACAATACAATTTTATTTGGCACCTTATACCTAAGAGTACATGGGTGTTTGATTCCCAATATATGATAGGTATATATATATATATACTATGTATTAGGTAATTTTCTTATTTCATTTTCATTTATCAGCATACATTKATGAATGTATGCTGATATAGCTTTTTGTAGAGACGCTGATTTTGAATTGATTAAGAAAATAAAACGACTGTCAGCGCTCATATTGTTGAAATTAATGCTGGCGTTTTTTTCTATGAACTCTCTTAAATCGTTTCTATGAGAGTCACTAGTGGACACCAACAATTATGAAGGCAGCCTTAGGAATATGAGCCAAACCCTCCTCTTGACCATAAGATTTTTTGTTAGACAAGTTTTTCATAAAGAAGCATCGATTCAAATTTCTTTTGAACTAAATCAAAAGGGTCAAAACGGATAGAAAACTGGCTATACAAACCAGCTTTCAGTCGTCCAGTCCAGTCCAGTCCAAAAATTCCAATTCCCAAGTCGTTCCAAGTCCCTTTCATCTGACCTGCTAAACGATCTTCAAAATTTGGCGGCTAAAGACAAGCATGTTCTAAAGACATAACTTGAAGGATTTTGAATCAAAGTCCAAAATCGGTGTTCCTTTGAGCTACAATGTATTACATAATTTCATTTCAGTTTTGCAAAGGCTTCCGGCCTCGTCCACTTGTAGCAACTTGTTATTTTTGGAGCAACCATTCCTGGAAAAAGAATGAATTTTGCCGAAATTCTTGGAAGAGTCAAAAGAAAAACCCTTGAGGGTAGAGGTAAGGATGGCTTTTACAATCACTAAAAACTTACATAATATGACGTTAAATTAACATTTTAAAATAACTTTAACATAAAAAAGCGTAGTAACGTGTCAAAAATACTATGAATTTGTTTTAAGCTTATCTCGAAGGAATATAAATAAGGCTGGACAATGTCTTGATCTCTACCTCCCGCTTCGGCAAATAAGCGCTTGACTTGTGTCGAGGTGTTCGCATCCAGACAATCTTGGGTTGAAGATGAGTTTTTCTGACCGACACGGAAATCTAACGTTTAGCTTTAAGTATGGAGCTCCAGGCGATCMAGGCGATCCTTAGGGAATCCAAAGTTTGCCGTAACCCTTTTCATGTAGWTCCTCTCGCTAAAAAACTCAAACCACTCTTTGAAAATGTAAAATTTAAACTTGCTTTTTCTGTCAAAGAAGAATATCAAAATCGGCCACTTAAACTCGAAAAATCTTCTCCAGAATCAAAACTAAGGCTTCAATATCTAAAGGAATTTTCAGCTCAACCTAATGCCAGTGAAAAATCTAAAAATKTCGACGTCTTCGCTAAAGATTTCCAAACCTTCCTTGATGGCAGATCTACTTTACTGGTAGACAACAATCTTGAAGATGCATATAAGATTATCCAAGATTCTGAGAGAAATGAGGAGGATGACTTCGTTCACAAAGCAAGAATTGAGGGTGTAGTTCTCAGGACATCTCCCAGCTACGTGTCTTTAATCACTTTGGATGGATCAGAGGAATTATTGGTCAAAGTTAATCGAGAGTTTGTAGGTTTTGGAATTAAAGTCAGAGCTGGTGATGTTATAAGTGTTGTCAACCCCAAATTGACTCGAAACAAGGRGAATGATTTGGATCCAGAATTGAAATGGTAAGACCCTTTCGATTTGGGATAGTTATGATGAAATGAAAGACTACCAATATATATCTTAGTATGTTGAATGTATAGTATATTATTTTTAAGCTACATTATTTTTTACTAAACACTATCAAACATCAAAGCTTGAGAGCTCTTTAGACAAAAGAAACGTTATTTTAAGAGCCACTGTTTTTTACCTCAAGCATGAGACCAAGAACTGAAATTTTACTTTTCCTTGTTCTTTAGTTTTATCAGTAATAAAATAGAAATATGTGCATACATTAAGGAAAGAAAAGAAACTTATATTTTACAACCGCCAMTCCCCAGAGGGCTGTTCCATGAGTTTCTCATTATACTCACTACTACGAAATTCTATATTATTTACAACGTACATTACTCAACTCACATGTTGCTTTTTACAGAGGGAGGAAACCGGAGATCCCGGAGACAACCCCTCTGGCAAGGGAGAGAATTTACAAATCAAACAAACTCAACTCACATATATGTTCCAGTCTGCCGGGGCTCAAACCCTGACCATAGCAGTGAGAGGCGAGTGGTAAACGCGCTAGCTACTACTCCACCCATGTCACCCATTTCCATGAAAAATGTGCTCATACTTTTGCACTTTGCACTGTAAATAATGGCATAGCTATGAATAAAATAATCATGTAATCAATGTCAGTGGCCACAGCAGTYATAAGGCCATGATATGGAGGAAAAAGTCATTAATTTTGTTCAGTAAGCTAGGGTCATGGCTTTTTCTGTTAGTCAGGGAACACTGCAGAGCAGAGTTGATTTCAAAAGGGAATAGGGCTTAAATTTATGGCCGGTTATCAGATAATGTCTGGCCAGAACTGGATCTTGTCCAGTCAAATCTTTGCTTTGCCGGTCATTGACCAGTAACATTGATCCAAAAATGAGGTATGACAAAGCTAAAACTAATTTTGCCTGTGATCATCATGACCAGCAACTTATAATTATTTTACAGTGCAACAGTACTATAACCAGGACTATGTCCCAAAAAACTAGATAGCCATTGTCATTTTTTATGGGAATAAAAAGATATGTCAAAAGGCTATTGTTTTCTGCTGCTTTCTGATTGGCGCCACTTCCCAAAGTTGGAATGTATTGTTTTTATTATACAATTTGATTGGTTCTCGCTGTCTAAGTGTCCCTGGTTATAGTAATCACACTGTAAGCCCTGCAGAGGATCACTTTCATGGGTAGACAGTGAAGTGCTGTCTGCTCAAGGTACATGATGTTTTAGTGCATTCCTTGTTAGGATAATATGACTTATATAACAATGTTTAATTGTTTTTTAATTCTTACAGCTGCTACAAAGTATACCCACATGAAGTGAACGATTWCCTAGATAAACTCAAAGCAAAAAATGATGCATGTACATTGCTTGAAGGTGTTTTAAGGTAGCTAGATTGCAATGAGGGTCTACTAGAGGTGTATTCCAACAACCTACTTACAACTTACTGACACCAACACCCTACTGACAACATCCTACTGATACTCTACCAACACCCTACAGACACCCTACCAACACCCTACTGACACCTTACCAACACCCTACTAACAACATCCTACTGATATCCTACCAACACCCTACATGTACTGACACCCTACCAACACCCTACTAACAACATCCTACTGA